TCCTGATGTGTTGGCAGGGTCCTGGGGACAGCTGGAAGGACAGAGGGTCCCCATCCTGGTGTGCTGACAGGGTCCTGGGGACAGTAGAAAGGACAGAGGGTCCCCATCCTGGTGTGCTGGCAGGGTCCTGGGGACAGTAGAAAGGACAGAGGGTCCCCACCCTTGATGTGCTGGCGGGGTCCTTGGAACAGCTAGAAGGACAGAAGGTCCCTGTGCTTGGTGTGCTGACAAGGTATCAGGGACAACTGGAAGGACAGATGTCTCCATCCTAGTGTGCTGGCAGGGTCCTAGGGACAGTTGGAAAGATAGAGAGTCCTCATCCTGGCACACTGACAGGGTCCCAAGGACATCTAGGACCAAAGGTCCCCATCCTGGTGTGTTGGCAGGGTCCTGGGGATAGCTGGAAGGACAGAGGGTCCCCATCCTAGTGTGCTGGCAGGGTCCTGGGGACAGCTGGAAGGACAGAAGGTCCCCATCCTGGTGTGCTGGCAGGGTCCTGGGGACAGTTAGAAAGACAGAGGGTCCCCATCCTGGTGTGCTGGCAGGGTCCTGGGGACAGCTGGAAGCAGAGGGGTCCGGGAAGGCACACACAGGCAAACTGAGGCTCCATGGGGTGAGCAGGAGGGAGGCAGGGGCACCCAGTTTTCTTTCCTTCAAGCATCAGCTCTGCCCAGGCCAGACGCTTCCTGTGAAGTTTTATAGGGGTGGCCAACCCCACACAGCTCGTGGGTTTCCCCAGTGCTCGGAGGAGATGAGAGAATGAAGGAAATAAAGACAGAGCAGTAGTTAAAAGAGTGGGCCCGGGGGGACCTTCGCCACCTTATGCCGGGAACAGTGAAGGCCCGGTGTCCTGGGTTAACTCAGTATTTATTACACACGTTGTCATTTAAATCAGCAGATGAATAATCAGGAGGGAAAGCAACAAACTGCACCCTGCGTCACTCTTTACTGCAGTTACCACTTTAACTCGCTGCTCTGTGGCCACTTCAGCTAAATTTTTCTTTAACTACTTAGACTCTTCTCTGACGTTAAACTGAAGAATTGGAATGCAGTTAATGAAACAAAGAACAAAGCTTAGAAGCAGGATGTGAAAGCAGACCCCCAGTCAGAGCACAAATTCCAAGAGAGGTTGTTAGGCCTCCCGGAGCCTTGCCCGGAGCCTTGCCCGGATGGCAGCCTTGCAGATGGGCTGGTGCCACACCATACGGAGAACTGGTGGGAAGAAGCACGTTTCTCGAATCTCCCTGAGAGGTTTTTCTCTCCTAGTGAGATCTGGTGCTTGCCCTGTTCCCACCACGTCCTGCACCTGCTGGTCATCTCTTCCAATCCCCTTCACAGTGTGCCTCTCACTGACAGGAACGTCCTGCCTCTGCAGGGCCCCCACTTTACCACCTTTATCCAGAGTCCCACTGGGGAGAGGCGAAGCCACCGCAAGACAGGTCTTTGTCTTAAAACTGCCAGCAGACTTTTGGTGTCTTCCATGCTGCTTTTGTGGTCTGTGTAGGTGCCTTCCTCAACATCCACCTCTTCAGTCTCTGTTCCTTGTTCATAACCTGCAATCAACTTTTAATCAAATTTTCTAAACTACTATCTTATTCTCCTGCCTCAGCCTCTCAAGTAGCCGGGATTACAGGCGCCCGCCACAACACCCGGCTATTTTTTTGTTACAATTGTTTAGCTGGCCCAGGCTGAGTTGGGAACCACCACCCTCGGTGCATGTGTCTGGCTACAGGTGCCAAGCCTGAATTTTTCTTTCTTCTAGCTATGAATTAATAAGCAAAATATTTGCTTTGGTTGCATTTTTACTATGACCTTGGAATTCCCCACATTGACCTGCTCCCTCCCAGGGCCCAGGGTGAGGGGATGGGGGCAGGGATGACCTGGCCACCAAAGGGCCCTGCCT